GTTGCCAAGGTTGAGAAACACTCTTCTAGATGTATGTTAATAATGATGGTGGCTACAAGTTATGTGAATTATACCAGAGAGGAAAAGAAAACGAGGAGCAGGAGAAAAGGAAAAAATGATGCTTGGAATAAAGGTAAACTCTATATCTGAAAAGATGACTGTTTTTAAATAATTTTTAGAGCTGGTTGGAAGGATAGGTCTCCAATCCTTTCCAAAGTACGGCTTCCATAAACAGTTTAGATGGATTAGCTTATTTCTAGTTTGTGTCAGTTTCACCTACATTCATAATACCTCTGTTCTTTTTTCTGTATCACCCTGCAAAGTGTTTGGGGGAAAAAAAAACACAGCTAGCTCCATTATCTGAACACACATTTTACCCAAGTTACTCATTTTTGGCATGCCCTGTTACATTATTTTAGAACTGTATCACACAACATTCAGAGAAGTGAAAAGAAGCAGAAAACAGACTGCTTCTTGAGTTTGGGAAGTACAAGAAAGTACTTACAAATCCCCATTTCTGAGCTTAGAGGGAGAAAATGCATAAGGCCATCTCTTTATTCCCTACAGTCTTATTATCCCAATTAGTAAAGGACCAACATTAGTTTAGATCAGTAATGGAAAATATAAACTTCAGTGTTGAAACACCAAGAGGATAGAGGGAAAACAGAGGCAAAATATTTACTAGTCTTAAGAACTACACTGAGACTGAACTCCTAGGCTTATCTTATATAAAGACCATTTCTTTCATCTGTTGAGGTCACCTTCACAGCTTCAACACAGAGTTTGCACACAGGCAACATCAGCTACAAACAAGGCACAAATCACGAGTAGCAACAGCAACACTATTTTTGGCCAAGTTGCTGGAGTTCCAAGCTTCGCTACCCGCATTTACTACTAAGAGATCATCTTAACAAGCATCTATTTGCTAGGTGCTGCTAGAAACTCTTGGAGCAAGATGAGCTAACTGCTTGTGAGGGGCAGATGTGGTCCCCAAAACACAGGAGCAGCACAAGAACAATGCTCCCTTTGGCATGCCTAACTTTCCAAGTTTAATCCTTGATCTATCCAGCTGAAAAAGAATTGGGTGAGAAATGGCAGGAATGACACTGAGAACCAGGAGAATCGCTGCCAGTCAGCAGGGACTATGTCAAACAGACAATGAGTTCACACATTGAACCAAGATCCCATTTGCCGAACATCCCATTTGCTAGGGCAACCTTTTCCTGCTCTGGTTCCAGATGTTGGGGATTGTAGGGTGTCACATTGGGGAAGACAGTGTTATTTGCGTGCCTTTTGCTGTTGCTGTTTTTCTTTCACCACAGCCCCACACAACCATTAAAAAGGATTTCAACCACTGCTCACATGTGTTTTATCACATTCCTGTTGATTATCAAAATCTGCCAGCTGCTTCTGTGTTTGTCACTGCCAAGTCCAAAACTTCCTCCTGCTCAACTTCACTTACAGACCGGACCCTAAGGACTTCCCATGTTTACTTCCAAGGCACAGTCTAACTCAGTGTTTCTCAACCTTGGCAATGTTAAGATGTGTGGACTTCAACTCCCAGCATTCCTCAGCCAGCCATGAAGAAGTCCACACATCTTAACGTTGCCAAGGTTGAGAAACACTGCATTAGACAACATGCTGTTCAAGCTCAAGGTGCCCAGAGCAGGGTGTTCAGGGATGGGGAATTGAGAGATTACCGAACCCTAATTCCCAGCAGCTCCAGGCAACATTGCCAATGGAGGGGAACATTGTCCTCTAGTTCAGCCACCCCAGAATGTCTGCTTGCTGCAAAGCACATGTTTCCTATCAACCTTCTCCAACCTGGCTCTCTCCCAATGTTCAATTGTGCTTCCTGTTATCCTAGCCAGCGATTATACAGATTGTAGTCCAATACCTCTGGAGAGCATCAGACAGGAAAAGGATGTTGTATAGGCTAGCCAGGCAAATTCTAGTCGACACCATAACCAACTCTGTATGTTCCAGAGTAACACTCAGATGTGCCTGGCGCTCTGCAGAGCAACCACAAAACACTTCAGGTTCTGCAGTTCACCCGCCCCTGGCACATTCTGGTGACGGTTTGAAAAGCAGGGAAGGATCGTGATCTCACACAGGAGGCTGGCCAGACTTCCCAGCCCTTGCGCACACGTGTTTTCCCCCTCTTCCTGATGCTGCTTGTCTGTTCAAGCCAGTATCTCAAAAGAAAACGGCCTCCTGCAATTCATAACCATGGCACCACCCTGACCTGTCAAGCTCTCCGTGTCTGTGCCAAGTCCCCCTTGTGTGGATGGATCCCCTCAAGCACTAGTGGATCTGTTTATAAGCACAGAAGATCACAGCATTGGTGGGCGGGTGTGCACCATGGGAAAGATCTTTTGATGATGGGGTTGGACACACACAGAGAACTGTTCTCTTCAATGACCAAGGCTTGTCAGTGGGCTGTTTACTTAAGCCAGATTAAAGAAAACTCTCAGTTATATACTGAGCTGGCTCAGTGTGCAAAGTTGTTACCCGTGGGCAAATTTAGCACCTCTGATTGGTTCCACAGAATGGGGCTCCAGAAATTCTCCGGGAGAAGAAGAGACAGCAGCATCTGCCCTACAGCAAAGCCTGGCCACGTAGTCCCTCTGCTTCCTTTCTTCCCTTGCATTAAGTCCTCTTGGTGCTGGGATATCACTGGCCAGAGGGAAAAATGGTTGGCTGACTGGATTTGTGGAAATGCATGCCATGCTGAGATGCACCCACCTACAAACTAGTCAGGGCATGCTCTGCTTTGCAAATTCCCATGTATAAAATTATTTTGAGATAATTAAGTTCCTAAGCCAGACTCCGTACGCCTTACTTCTAGATAAATATGCATCGATCCAGCTTGGCTACAACTTCAGACTCTCCTCTCTCCCTACATTTGGTTGGTAATACTCACCAGATGACTGTGCGTTCTGAGTATTGCAGCCTGACTCTAGGCCAAATTAGCCTGTCCTAATTATAAAGAGAAGAGACAGCACATCTGGCTGATCGCACAAAAAGATAAGCGGGGCAGACCTGATTAGTATTTGGATGGAAGGCCACTAGGAAATGTCAGGACTGGGAAATTAAAAACAAAGAACAAAAACACCCTCCAAGGTGGCAGTGGCAAACCATTTCCATATTTTGCCAAGAAAACAAGGAAGTCTCATTTTTAGAAGCAGAAATACATGAAGGAGGCACTTTTGCTAATAGAAAAAAATAGGAAGATACTTTTGGAGATATGTGGCTCACTTTTGACTGTTAAGCTTTGCCTGCTTTTGAAAGCACTGTTTTATGATCTCAGTATCACCTATCTGTAAAATGGGTACAAAGTTTTCCAAAACTCTGCCCTGATTGCAGAGATTGAAGATTCTTCAAGCCCTCAGGTAAATTCCTGGCATAAAACCAACATTTTTAATCCCTCATCTGCACAGAGCACATCTATGATGAAGGCAGCAATGCCAACCTTCCTGTTTTAAAATCTAAAGAAATACATTAGCAAAGGGATGGAAAATGCACGTACCAAGAACCCTTTGACCTGAAGCACTCTCAAGGCCTCAAGGAGGTTATCAAGAAAGGCAAGTTGCAATGTTTGAGTTTTGTTTCTTTTCCATTCCAAATACCTTTAAAGTGGAGGGTTGGACTGTAAGTCGACTAAAGGCCCCATTACTCAACTTTTGAAATAGAAAATGACCTCAGAGGAAAATAAATGGGGGCTAATTTGGGCCAGCATGCTTCAAAATGTACACTTCATCATTATTTCTAGTGCACGTGTTCTGCTGATCAGACTCCGGATGAACTTCACTAAAGAAGGGAGGGTCTGACAGGCAGAGTTTATCAGTTTTCCACCATCAATCAGAAACTTGAAACTGGGCCAGTAGTTCAGGAAGACTAATCTTAGGGGGTTTTTTTCCCTCCCTAGAATCTTACAGCAGTAGAAAAGTTAACTCTTCTCTTCACTCCTGCACGGTGAATGGTCCAATAAAGTTCTCTGCATCATTACCATTAACATACATGGGACCGCTGCGAAGCATTCTAGCGTGAAGGGTCATGGTCCAGAGCGACCCTTTTTAATGTACTCCATTGCTTGCTTCCCCA